CCTACGCATTTATTCATTTGTGTCACTTACCGGTGGCAACTATGATTACAAATCAAGATGACAGCAACCAGGCAGAAGTGACCGCCCGCTTCGATCCGAACTTGCTCCTGCTAAACGCCCACAGCACCGACAGCAATAAATAAATGGTGAAAAAAGCCAGCCGTCTGTTTCATCTTATGCCCTGAGGATAAATCATCAGGTACGCTTTTTCGTTATTGCTGCTTGCGTAGCCGTATCTGATAAGCCTAACACGCCGAGGCCAGAGGTTGGGCTGTGTCGTCCGACCAAGAGCGCTGCACCTCTTATTATAAGACTTGCAAACTCACACAGCGTTCCGCGCGCGTTAGAGGCTCCTGTGGTGAAAAAAATGGCAGCATATCAACGGGGTGAATTATGGAGAGTGGGGCGAAGCATCCGTCCGTCCATTCGTTCTTGATTCCGTCCGTCCATGCGTCCATCTGTGTGACCATCCGTGCGTCCATCCACCCGTCCGCGCGTGCGTCTCTTCGTGCGCCCGCATGTCTATCCGTGCGCTCATCCCTACATTCGTCCATGCATCCTCCCTTGCGTCTGTCCATGCGTTCATCCGTCCATGCAGCCATTTGTGCGTCCGTCCATGCATCTGTCTGTGTGTCCATTCCTTCATCTAGTCAACACTCCAAGTACCAGCATCACGCATGTTTTCATCATATATTCTGCATATATAAGCACCACCATCCAGCGGACATTCCAAAGACTAAACAAGAGATGGCACATGCACACTTTCTTGCGGCTTGCGCTTCGTGCCTAATTCCCACCTTTAACCACCTCGAGTTCATGGTATATACTAGTTCACTGTATTCATGGCACTGCGGCCCAACGCTCGCTAAACCTTTCCAAGACCTAGGATGTTACGCGCAGCGAGTTTAACGTAGCAACCTTTTCTTGTCACATAGGGCTCAATGTACAAGCCAATGGCTGCAAATGAGGAATGAGAGACAGGAGAATTTGGATTTTAGTTAACGCACACGCTCTGATTTATTTAATGTTCAACAAGGCACAGGAAAAATCTCCCAGCGGCCCAAACTTGCAGGTCAAAGTGTAAGACATGTGACGTACTACGACGAGGGATCAACTGATGCCGCTTTAAGGAGCTTCGCCCCTAAAAAGAAGATGGCAAATAAGCGTTGAAGTGAGAGAAGGGAATGAACATGTTGACAGAGAAGGAGCTATGCTAGAGCCACGAACAGCGTCGGGGAGCCACAAAATGAAGTTATCTGCTGGCAAGAACCTCTACCGATCTTTCGTAGAGCCACAAATCATCATGCTAAGGCGCCAAACTTTCTGAAGTTGAAGAGTAATGACTTGTTTGGCTGTTTTATTTAGTTTAAAGTTAATAAACCCTCCGTGTTACATACGTTGAACGGGCAAGGATACTTAAGCTAGCACACGCCGTGAAGACGGTGAGTAGACGGCACGGTACGGATGAAATGGCCCGTGTGCTCAGATTTCAGTTTATGTTAAAGAACCCAAGGTGATCAGAATTTCCGGAGCCCTCCACTACGGCGTATTTTGTAATCAAATGGTGAGTTTGGAACGTTAAACCCCGCATAACAATCTATCAATTGACAAGTGGTAAAGCGCAGCAACATATACACATGTGTCACCATTGTGTGACAAATGTGGTGAAGCATTAACAGTCCTTCACGTACTAATCCTGTGCAAACACTTAGAAACTCTAAGAAAACAGCATTTTCCATTACCCTACTGACAACATATACCTTTACACCATGCAATGTTCGTCGGTAGGGAACCGCTTTTTAGTCATAAATCATTGTTAGAGTTTTTAAAAGAAATTCATAGTTTTCATATCATATACCCGGGCATTCCGTAGCACGACCTCTCCAGAGAGGTTTTTGCTGCGGTGGCTACACAAGAAAGCACTTGCCTCACGGCCCTTGGGCGCAAGGGTATGAACGAGTGAGGCACTTGTGCTAATGCCATACATATCCACCATCGTCTTTTATTATCACCAAATTTTGTCATCTATTCACACCACACGCACCTTTCACGGCATGATCATGATTTTATTACTTGTATGTTCTTACCCGCCTTACCGCGAGGAATTTTATGGCCCTTATACAGCCGCTTATCACAATAATTGTCCATATTTTTAGTAAGATGAACTGGCGCTCTTTGGCCGTGAAATGGCCCTTGCGCCACAAAACATCAAACATCATCATCATCATTTACACATGTGTCGTCTAGTATTCCAGTCTTATCACAGGTCTTCGCGCAAGCTCTGGAATAATCACGAGTTTGCATCTCAACAGAACGATCTACGATGATCGCGAACCTTCCCGAAGTATGATGCGCAGTTTGCACTGTGTATTCGTGACCCCGTCTCTTTGGGCGAAAACCCAATCAAAGGAAAGTGAAATTAAGAAACGCTACGGTAGATATGGACGCCATCTTGCAGTAATAAGGGGAACCGATTGTTTCTGCAGAACGCAGAGCCACTGGTATTTGGCAGCATCATGCCGTCTTACCGAAGTGTAGAGAAAACTCGCTTTTTCGGTCATAGCATCGTATATTCAGTGGACCGTAACAAACATATGTTATAGGGGCGAAGCTTCTTAAAGCGGCACCCGTTCGTCCCTCGGCGTAGTACGAAACATGTCTTACACTTCGACCTGCAAGGTGGTGCCGGTAGGAGATTTCTCCTGCGCATTGTTGAACAATAAAAAAATTCGCAGTTTACGCAAAAGCCGAATTCTCCTGTCTCTCATTCCCCATTAGCAGCCATTGGCATGTACATTGAGCACTATCTGACAAGAAAGAGTTGCTACGTTATACACGCTGGGCATAACCTCCTTGGTTTTAGAAAGGTTTAGCGAGCGTCGGGCCGCAGTGCCATGAAAACAGTGAACTAGTATATACCGTGAACTCGAAGTGGTTAAAGGTGGGATGTAGACACGAAGCGCAAGCCGTAAGAAAGTGTGCGTGTGCCACCTCTCGTTTAGTTCTTGGAATGTCCGCTGGGTGGCGGGGCGTCCATGTGCGGAATATATGATGAAAATATGCGAGATGGTGGTACTCGGAGTGTTGACTAGATGAACGAATGAACACACAGACAAATGCTTGGACGGACGCAAGGATGGCTGCACGGAGAGATGGACGCATGGACGCAGGGGCGGATGCATGGACGAACGCAGGGACAGACGCACGGATGGACGTGCGGATGCATGAAGAGATGTACGCACGGACGGGCGCATGGATGCACGGACCATCATATAGACGGACGCACGGACGGAGGGAAGCAAGAACAAATGGACGGACAGATGCTTCGCCCCACTCTCCATTATTCACTCGTTGATATGCTGCCATTTTTCGTGTTACATTTCTCTGCATTTTCAATAGAAGGAACTCAATACCTAATACTTATGCCTTTACGTTGCGTCTCCGATACAGTTATTATTTGCTTTTTGATAATCAATGTTTCATCCCAACCAGGGATCATCAACTTTCTCTGGGTGGGCGAATCGTGCGACAGGCAGACCAACAGAAAGAAAGAGCAAAAGCTCTGCTTTAAAGTTTCTGAATGAGTTACCGTCTTTAAAAGAAATATTTCGGTTGTTGTTTGTATTGAAGGTTCAAACTTCAATGCTTCCATAGGTTGAAACAAAACCAGTTCACCAGTTAAGCTGGTTGAAAATGATCAAGTGGCTTTAAGTAGCGGCAAATGCTTGTGAATTTTCGTGAAGGTTAGCATTGAGATGGAGAACAGTTGACTTTTTAACAGCATTCACTAAATTAGGAAGTGTTCATTTCTGAATCATTAGAGCAGGTAAGCCATTCAATCACAAACCAAGGGTAGAGAACACGACGTCAACCTTCACTATGAATCGGCAAGGCATACTGCTGAGAAAAAGAAGATACCCATGAACACTTTTCTGAGCATCAGTAGATGTGGTAAAGCCACTCCTTATTTAGGCACACCCGCTTGTCGCCTGTGTAAAAAAAAAGATAAGTTTCTAAAGACTTAATTTTTCTTTAAGCCTGTTGGTGGAAGGATGATTCACACATGTTTTCAAGCATTTACAATGTACCAGACTTGAAGTTATCGATGCACTTATTCATTCTTAGACGTGATCAAGATTGTGCATTTATTGAATGTTAGTGTGCACTTACTGGGCACTACGTAACAAGAAATTAGATGACCACCCTCTGGTTTACCGCCTCTCATGTTCTGTTACCTTATAATTAGAAGAGCCCGTCAGCGCTACGTTAAATCAGGAGCAGCTAAAACAAACATACTGTACCCTACCAGCTCAGTTAAAACAAACTATCACACCAAGTTTTACAGCATTTCAATTTCCTGAGTTGCTCGCTGAATGGCCCTCTTTTCACGAAGCGCTAAGATATACCTAATCAACTTATTCAAAAACAGCATCAAGAAAAGGGGGGAGGGACGAGTAAGCGTACTTAATGCTTCCTGGAGAGATGGGGGCCAGCCTATCTCGGTAATTCGCCAAAAGAACAACTGCGGCATTGTGGGCTACTCAACTCACACTAGGCATCCTACGACCGTTTAAAAGGCAAAGAGCTTTTTTTTGCGAGGGGGTTAAGCAGTCTACTGAGAAGCTAATCGAGGATTGCAAGTGACAAAGTCATGTGAACGCCACCCTGTCACTCCATCCCGTTCTATGATTGAAGGTGCGGTGCAAGAGTACTCCAAGATTCTTTGTTTTTTTTTGTACACAACCCAAGCTGACGACACCGAAATTTCTTCAGAAAGAGCTTTTTAGCGCTAAGTAAAGCCCACCACCTATACAATTCAGTTGCGGTAGAAACTTCTTATGTGACCTGAACAATGTTACACGTGTGTTGTCGACTCATGCTGATGCCTTGATTGTAGCTTCATAAATTTCAATATGCGCGAAGATAGAAAAGTGTGCATCACGTTATCGGATTGATATCAGCCTTAGTTACAGTACCTTGTGCAGAGTGGAAACAGAAGCTGGGGACGGTAGCCGAAGCTTTTGAACAAGAGCAGGTAGAACAATCGAACGACGTTTTTTAGTCAACGTACGCGCTGTGTCTAATGGATCTTCAACAGCAGTCGTACACAGTGTTCGGATTTTCGAAAGAGCTGGACTGGAGGCCGTTGAACTTCGTTGATCTTATTCCAGCTGAGAGGATCTGCAACGGCTGTGGTTTGTTGGCCATTGAGACCGCCCATCTGCCCTGCCGACACGTGCTGTGCAAACCGTGCTTCCAGCAGTGCTTGGTCAACGAGGAATACGAATGTTTACTCGGCTGTAATCAGTTTACTAAAAAAGACGTCGAATGGAGAGCCTTTCCAATGAAGGACCTGCTCGAGTACAAGGTGAGCGATAAAGAAACGACTAAAATTAGTTGTTCTTTAGCTATTGCAGCAGTCGCTACGTTCTAGTTCGTCGCGAAGATGGGACAAAACACCCAAGGGCCTGAATTTAAAAATTTCTTGCTGCTTGGTGACTACGGGCACCATGTTAGCTGTATCGGAGCAATTCCAGTCTTATTTCATTGGCTAAAGCGTTGGAAGAACTGAAGGCACTGCCGGAACTAAGGCACTTACTGAAGCGTTAGTAACCTTTCTTTGAAGCCAATGAGCGACGGCTCGTTATGTATTATATCTTGGGGCATAGTAATGAGTGAGGCAACTTCATTTGAGCATGCTTCGTCAGCCAAGCGTGAAATCCAAGCGCCCGTCTCATTCATGAGTGAATGACAGGAATCATGTATTCGCTGAAGATTTTCATTGTATCTGTGTGATTTTGAGCCTACTTCTACCCTTTTTATCACCCATCTCCCCCCATTATTCCCTGGCTTTTTTATTGAGCGTGTATGTTCTGCTGGTCATCCCACTTAATACGTTAGTGTGTCTCTTCCAATTCGCATGGCTTCTCACACCAGAAGATGTAAAAAAAACGGCCCTGTATCTGCATGTACACTGCGAATGTCGTCGAAAGACGATAGTCGTGCGTGTGAAGAGAGAGAACAAAACGTTTATTTGGTATTCTGCGCAAGAAAATAGAAAATGGTATTCTGGAGGCGCTGCGTTAGAGTGCTTCGAGCGTGTAGCGGAGGCGAACGAGCGCATCAAGTCGCGTCACACGTGGGACATGAGCGCTATCAGGCATTTTCGGAAAAGCAAGCGCGCGCGCCCTGCACACCCGTCTCGCAGGTGATAAGGCGTAGAACGCAAGGCGACGGGTAGGTGCCACTACCGTGTCGTCTTAGCAAAGTGTTGGAAACACTTTCTTTTTTGTGCAAGCGTTGCATGGTCAGCGCAACGTAATAAACGCTACGGGCCTTAGGATTACTTATATATGCCTTTTTTATTAAGAGACACGCGTACAGAATGTTGACGTCTTGTGATTGGGCCTCAGAAATGCGCAATAATTGCTTTTAATTGACAATCCCAAAAGTACGAACGCTGAATCTTGAGCAATATTCTTGGGCGCTGCGGATGGGGTGGGCCGTTTGGAGTATTGTATGACCACTTTGGTGCCGTTTAGGGTACCATTAGAACGGACAAACAGAAAAACCTACAGACAGACAAGCAGACAGACCAATATTTTTACGTCAAAGGTCCCCAAGAAAGACTATCGTCTTCAAAAAAAACACGTGTGACGCGACGTAGGGACAACTAATGCAGCGCGCCTTCGTCTACTGACCAACCCATTCACTTAGCTCGACAAAATTTGCAAAGACACATTGATGATCATCAAAATACATTCGAAAATTATGCCCCCACTTTATTATTTATTTTAGCCTAACTGGAATAAGAATGTCTTAAAAATTGGCCGATCCACATACAGTGGGAATCGATGATATGCAAAGCATAAATGACGAAAGTTTATATATCACTTTAAAATCAGCACAACGTTACGAGGCTGACAAACTTAGTACAGAGTGAGCACAACTACAGTGGTTATTCGCACTGAAGCGTCTAGATAAGATGCAAGCATGTTTATAGTCACGTAACGATGGCACCACTAACGTTTGCGATACTAGTACCAGCAGCAGTAGGCATGTAAATTATGCGGTACATGACTGCCATGTCGTGATTATCCTGTTTGCGCCTACCATTTGTGTTCGTCGTTCAATCAAGGCACGCAATACCAAACTTGGTATGTGTGGAGCTAGCAAAATGGTCGCGAGTGCGCTGTGAGCGTCGCACGTACTCATGTTTTACATGACACGCATTTCATGGATATCAGGTTTGGACGTGTGATTTACCTTCGTCGTCTCTTCACGCCACGTAATACCAAATTTGGATTGATTGATTGATATTTGGGGTTCAACGTCCCAACATTACCATATGTATATGAGAGACGCTGTAGTGGAGGGCTCCGAAAATTCCGACCACCTGGGGTTCTTTAACGTGCACCCGAATCTGAGCACACGGGCCTACAACATTTCCGCCTCCATCAGAAATGCAGCCGCCGCAGCCGAGATTCGAACCCGTGACCTGCGGGTCAGCAGCAGGCTACCTTAGCCACTAGACCACCACGGCGTTTCTAATACCTAATTTGGTATTTGTGAAACTAGAAAAACATCCGCGAACGCATCATGAGCTTGGCGTGTTGTCATGTTTTACACGACACGCATGTCATGATTATCGAGTTTGCACCAGTCATATACCGTCTTCATTCATTCACTTCACGTAATATCAAACTTGGTATATTTGCGAAGCCAGTGAAACGACCATGGGGGCAGCGTGAGCGTGACATGTTGTTATGAGTTACATGGCATGCAAGTAATCATTTCTACGTTAGGGCCTCTCGCTTACGTTTGCCATGCAGTCGTGTCATACCATAGAAGTTTTGCAATAAGTCATGTGAATGAAACCACCTGAAGAGTAGCAAGACCATGACATGTAAGTCATTAAGTTCAAGGTATACATGTAATGATATTCGTGTTGTGAATGGTCACTTATGCTCACCATACAGCGATGTTTTTTTTTCTTTATTTCCGATTGAGCTTTACTCATGGGGTATAAGATAAGTATAACACATTACGCAGCAAACATAACAAAGAATATAAGTACAGCCGTATAAAACACATCACATCCTATAATTCCTTTAAAATAAGCAGGGATTCTAAGATTTATAACCATAAGGGTACTCATTCGTTCATTCTGACTACCTCGAGAAACATTAAGATACTTTCTTCAAAATAATGTCTTGCTGGTCTCCTGTCAGGATCACCGTAAAGTCTTGTTGTGCCATACTAATTCTGGTATAGATCCCAATGTTCAAACGGCCAGGAGAGCTAAAAATCGTAAGCGTCTAAACAGACAGACAGACAGACAGACGGACAGATGGATGGACGGGCAGTGAAATCGATAGATCAATAGATAGATTCGATCAAAGTCGCCGAAGTTCTTTAAGAATTGCTTCGAATTTAAAAGTCCTCGTATCCCTCTGAACATGTAGACCGACAGAAAAACTGTGCTTTGTCATCATTAAGATATCTAAGTTTCATCACTCCCTATACCGAAGTCCCCTTAAATTATTGATTGACCACTACAACTTGTGCTAGTTGGCACGCTTGAAAGGACGCCTTGAAAGGCTGTATTGTTGCCGTGATGCAAGTACAGAGGAAATTAATCCGATACCAAGTCCGTGCCGTTTGCCCCATCATCCTTATTTAAAAAGTGATCCGAATGCCGACAGCTTTCTTTGAACTATGATCAATGGTGACTTCACTGAGCAGGAACGAACCAACCAGCGAGGTGAGTACGCTCGTATACATAAGCGAGGATTGACACGGTTTCCTTCCTGAACAAAACTAAAGTGAAAGAATAATTATGCAGTGACCAGCAACCTACTAAAGCTTTTAGCATTGGCGCGAGGGGATCTGCGGGACCTTTATCACGACTGGGCTCTGGCTTCTAACGCAAGCTATAGAGAGCATACGAAAAAAGTACTGCGGTCCACGCCTTACTGCTGACGTCGCTACGTCAAGGCTTGCAGAGATCGCCAGCGACACAATACACAACCTAAAAGACCACTCAGAATCCAACTACTGATAAAACTAACGGATCTAACGCTCCAGCTTATCATTACAGTTTCACTGGCGCCATTTATATCATTGCAGCCAGGAAATAAATTTGCCATCGTTGCCATGAACTACCAAGCTGACTCGCTACTGCAAGACAAACGCACTAGCGAAAATTACTTTGACAGAGAAAGTGAAAATCTGTTTCATGACATACTCGTCTGCCATAAATTTTGAGAATTTTAAATCACCGACTGAGCTACAGAATTTGCAGCCGAACAATACCTGTGATCCTGCAATACAGCAGCGCATATTTCTCGGACAGCTTCCTACCACCTACTGACTAATGGCATGGATGGAACTCTGAACACAGCTCTCACCGGCTTGGTAACGGTGTATGAACGCACATTTGCTGCTAAAAATTGGCCGCCAATCTCCGTGTTCTACTGAAAAGGACGGTGAAAGACGATGGTCTTCTGTGTGGATGTGCTGAGCGAGATATGGCGGCATCTGGCAGCATTGTGAAAAAACAATTTTTTTTTTAGATGAAAAGCCACTGGTTGACGACAGTACCAGGTCGTTTTAGTTAAAGCTCGACAATTTATTAGCGAAGCGAAGGAAACGCCCGCTTTTTAGTTTACAGCATCGCCTTGTCAGCGCAGCGTAATAAATGCTGCGGTCCAAAAAATTACGCATCCATTCATTTTCTACATAAAACACACTCCCTAACACTTACTTATTTGCCCTGCACTTCAAGTATGTTTAATATTTTCTATTTTATAAACAATATTTACAAGTACAGATGCAGCCATCAAGATGGGTGGCGTTTGAGCACGTGTTTGAACTTTCACCGGGTAGATGAATTGTTGGACAGGCACCAACAGACAGACCACAGTTTTTGTGTCGAAGTATTCGAAGAAAGATGATAATCTTTAAAAGAACAAAGGCAGGTTCACCCCATTAAAGGTGCATGCTGGTTTAAACTGAACCTACAACAATACGAAGAGCGAACATGTTATTTTTGCTGGCGTTTCCCGGTGTTGCAGCAGAATTTTCGACGCCAGCATTTTGCTAACGTTATGTGAGAATTAAAACAGCTTTCAATTGGTCGATTTACGAGATATATCTGTTGCAAATTTTCTCGTGCTCTGCCATGCAGTCGTGTGCCCGCTCTGCCTTAGCGACATCTTTTCTCTTCAAAGTAACATGAATATGGAACGAAGAAGCACACAACAAAAAAGACGGGTGGCTCAGTGTTTGTTTCGTGATATTTCAGTGCTAAACTGAGTCATTAGGTAGATACCAACTAAGCAAACAAACATTCATCTTGCTTTGAGC